CAGCGTTCGCCTGCACACACACCATTTCACCCTCGTGCTTCCACTCTTATGCTGCTATATCTTATGACTCATATTAATTACAGATCAGAGATAAATAACTACACAATACTATACTCTCTCGAATACACTTACACACCTTAACTCCCTACTCTCCGCGTCCTACGAACACCAAAGTAACTGGTCAGGGACACAGATTTCAAAATTCACTGTAGATATTCTAGGGTTTAGAATAAAGGAAACTAAATAATGAATAAAAGAGTTATGTGTTATATTTTAAAGTATTTTAATGTTATGTGTGAACTTGATCCTGCCATTATGATATTAACTGGTTATTTTGCTCGTTAGTTGATGCAGTTTCTTCCTAGCTTCGATGGTCTTTACATTTTGGCATGTTTTTGCAGTGGCTGGTACCAGTTGTTCCTTTCCATGTTTAGTGCTTCCTTAAGAGTTTTATAGTTTTAACTATATTTAAACTTATGATCTATTTTCAAGTGTGTGTGTGTGTGTGTGTGTGTGTGCAAATGTGGTGTGAGGAGGGTACAACTTCATATTTTGAAAGTGGATATCCAATTGTACTACTAATAATTGTTGAAAACATTATTCTTTTCTCAATACATTGTAATGACACCCCATATAAAATCATTTGACCATAAATGTGAAGTTTGTTTCTGGATTCTCAATTCTATTGCCTTGATCTCTCCTGTCTAACTTACAACTACAGGAATGCATAGATTTTATTACTCTAGTTTTGTAGTAAGTTTTGAAATTGGGAAATGTGTGTTGTAATACTGCTCTTTTTCAAGTTTGCTTTGGTTGTTTTCATCACTTGCATTTCCATGTGAATTTGAGGATCAGCTTGTCAATTTCTGCAGAAAGGGGAGCTAGAATTTTGATAGGAATTGCATTGAATCTGTCAATCAATTTGGGGAATATTGCCGTCTTAACACTAAGTTTTTCAATCCATGAATATGGGCTATCTGTCCATTTATTTAAATATTCTTTAATTTGTTTCAATGATGTTTTATAGTTGTCAGTGTACATGAAGAACTGCCTTCTTTTGTTAAATTTATTTTTAATATTTTATTCTTTTGATGCTATTGCAAATGGAATTGTTTCCTAATTTCATTTTCAGATTGTTCATAACCTGTATGTAGAAATAAAACTGACTTTTCTATATTGATCTTATAGCTTTCAACCTTGTTAAACTCATTTATTAGCTTTGATAGTTTGTTATGGATTCTTTAGGATTCTCTGTATATAAGACTATGGTATCTGCAAATAAAGTTTTGCTGCTTCCTTTCTATCTGTATGCTTTATCTTTTGCTTGCCTAATTTATCTGACTAGAACCTCTAGTGCAGCAGTTTTAAACAGAAGTATATTTACTGAGGGTTTTTTGTAGATGTTGTTTACTTTGTTGAGAAAATTCTCTTCTATTCCAAGTTTTTTGAGGGTTTTTTGTAGATGCTCTTTACTATATTGAGAAAATTCCCTTCTATTCCAAGTTTATTGAGGGTTTTTAACATGAAAAGGGGTTGGATTTTGCAAAGTGCTTTCTTCCTACCTCTATTGAGAAGGTCATATGATTTTGTCTTTTATGCTATTAATATGGTATATTATACTGATTGGTTGGCATATGTTGAACCAACCTTGCATCGCTGGGCTAAATTCCACTTGATTGTGGTGTATAATCCTTATATGTTACTGATTTTGCTTTGCTAGTAATTTTGTTAAGGATTTTTGTGTCTGTGTTCATAGGGGACATGAGTTTATAGTTTTCTTTTCTTGTAATGTCTTTGTCTGGTTTGATGTCAAAATAATACTGGCCTCATAGAATGATTTTGGAGGTGTTTTCTCTTAATTGCTTAAAAAGTTTGTAAAAGCTTAAAAAATTTGTAAAAGATTGATGTTAATTCTTAAAATATTTTTAAAAAATTCACCAGTGAAGTCATCTGCGCCTGACCAGCCTTTTCTTCAGAGAAGTTTTTAAATTACTAATTCAGTTACTTTACTTGTTATGAATTTATTCAAAGTTTTGATTTCTTCTTAAGTCAATTTCAGTAGTTTGTATCTTTCCAGGAATTTGTCTATTTCATCTAGTTTATCTAACTTGTTAGTATGTAATTGTCCACAAAATTCTCTTATAATCCTTTTTATTTCTGTAAGGTCTGTAGTTATTTACCTTTTTTCATTCTTGATTTTAACAATTTAAGGGTTTCTTCTTTTTCTTTTCTTTTCTTTTTTTTTTTTTTGATCTAACTAAACATTTGCTAATTTTGTTGACTTTTTCAAAGAATCATTTTTTGTTGTGTTGATTTTCACTATGGGTTTTCTATTCTTTATTTTTTCATTTCCACTCAAGTCTTTCCTATTTCCTTCCCTCTGTTTGATTTGAATGTAGTTGTATCCTCTTTTGCTAGTTTTATAAGATGGAAAGGACCTTCTTATTTTTAAATATAGACATTTATAGCTATAAATTTCCCTCTATGCACATCTTAGTTTTATCCCATAAATTTTGGTTTGTTGTGTTTTCATTTTCATCTATTTCAGAATATTTTTTGGTTTACCTTGTGATCTTCTTTGACCCACTGTTCATTTAGGAGCATCTTTAATTTCCACATAGATGCAAGTTTTCCAAATTTAATTTTATTATGTATTTTTAATTTCACATTATTATGAATACCACCTTTTCAATGGAGTCTACTCTGATAACCATATTTAATATTGAAACCTGCTTTGTCCTCTGGACCCCCACTTGGCTCTCCCAATTCCCCTTACCCTGCTCTATTTTCTCCCTAGAACACTTGTTAGCATACACCTTACATAATTATTCTTTATTATTTATTTTCTCTCTCTTTATGTCTCTGTCCTCTAAAACATCAGTTTTGATGTGTCACTCAATTTTAGTAGTGCCAAGATTTTAGACCTAACCTTTTCTTTTTGGTTGTTGTTAATCCTATTCTTACTGACATTTTTCTCTGTTATGTTATTGCTTTCACTTTATCTTAACTTTGTCTCTTATTAGTGAATAAGAAAAGTTCTCATGTTTAAATATTATTTAAAAACTAATATTTGGTGTTTCCAAACTGTATCAGTAGCAATAGATGTTTTCCTTCCTTTCTCCTCTTTGCTGAGCTTCCACTCACATAAAATTAGATGCAGATGATGGTGCTATATCAGCCCAGCCAGTTGCTAGTGCTTTAACACAGTTATACCACTTGACACAGAAAATACATACCACATACAGCCAACTTTTAACTCTCTAATAAGTAGCTTCCTGTCATAGCCTCTTTCTTCTATTCTGTCTTTACCTTCGCTAGTCCCAGAACCCATAATCCTATACCAGAAAAAAAGTTAGGGCCCAGCTGAATTTTAAGAGTTAAAATTCCCCTTACTGGATCACTGGCATCATCAACTCTGCTAAAATGAGATCTTGAAGGGGTAATTCTCTGCAATCAGGGAAATAGCTAAAGAAGAAAAAATACTGTCACTGGCATTTGCCATCCTATTTCCTTGAAGTCTTCAAAGAGCCGCTGCATCAGCAGTGGTTATTTGGTGAGTGGTGAGAGTGAATGCAGCGTGAAATATTGTTCCTGCTGACATCCTTCATGGTTGGAATGTGGAGCTCAGAAATCTAAGGATACTTCCTCTATTCATCTATTTTGCATTTCTATAAAGGAATATCTGAGGGTAGGTAATTTATAAAGAAAAGAGTTTTTTTTTTTTTTTTTAACTTAAAAACTCTACAGACTGTACAAGCATGGTGCCAGCATCTCCTTCTGGTGAGGGCTTCAGGAAGCTTCCAATCATGGCAGAAGGCAAAGGGGAGCAGGCATGTCATATGGCGAGAGAAGGAGCAAGAGAGATGATAGGCTTTTTAAAGCAATCAGCTCTCATGTAGACTAATAGAGCAAGAGCTCATCCCATGAGGATGGCACCAAGACATTCATGAGGGATCTGCCCCCATGACAGACACCTTCCACAGGCACCACCTCCAACATTGGGGATCAGATTTCCACGTGAGATTCAGAGAGGACAAGCATCAAAACCATATCACTTACTTTCCAAAGACCAAAAACAAAGGTTAGATCACTCAGCATTTGCATTAGCTAGGAGTTAGTCACATTGGAAGCCAATGTTATATTTAATATACTAAATATAAGCAAGTTATATGTTTGCCAAATGGTATGAGGTATGTCATGTTGAACCACGTTATATCTTCACACATTTTGCTTTTGGAAAGAAGTGGTTAATTCCTGAAATAAAATTAGTAAGATACCACAGGAATTAGAAAGACTAACTTTCTTGCAAAAAAAAAAAAAAGATGATGAAAAGCATATTACCAGTGATTAGTAAAGAAAAGTGTGTGGATTTCAAAATACGCATGGAATTTTCTACCAGGAAACTAAGCTCTGTCAGTTACTCTCACCTATGCTTTAATCAATAGCTCTTAAACAGAACATAATCAAAATAAAACTTCATTAATTTGCTAATTATCTGCAGTTAGAATCTTAGCTGAATGTCAGTGCATGTGATTGAGTATGAATGTTTGTGCACCATTTAAGGTTGTTATCCATTATCAGTTGTTTTATGTATGTAGTAGCAGCTATGCTAGATGACTGTATGCCTTTACAGGTTGGACTAGTATAAAAATTATACATGAATGTCAACATGATAATATTAGGCTGTGTTTATAAAGGGAAGCCCCTTTATAAACTGAATATAAACAAGTTGTATATTTGCCAAATGGTATGAGGTATGTCATGTACGAGGTATATAATTATATTGTTAAAGCATCTTACTCTAATATCTATGATCCAGGTAAATTGTGTTTACATCAGCCTTTTTTTTTTCAGTATACAGCTAGGTTGTGGGGATTATTGATAAAACTGCATACTTTAAAAAATAATAATATTTTACTGTCTTGAAAAGCAAGGATTCTGTTTGTTGTAATAAATCAATTTCTTGAATGCTTGGTAATTTTTTTACATCTTCACTTCAGGAAGTGACAAAAAGATGGAAGGGGAAGCCTCTTACTACTTGGGCTTAGCACACTTAGCTGCTGAGGAATATGAAACTGCATTAACAGTAAGCTAAACTTTTAATCACTACCATTTTTAATTATTTTAATATATTTATTTTATTTTATTATATGTTATTACAAGGCCAACAGAAATGACTTAGGCCTGACATAGGTGTGCCTTTTTACTGAGATTAAAGCAGAATAGCAATATGCTAGAAGCATTTAAAAATTGGTTTTATTGTTTATTGAAGGTACAGTGGTATATAATCAATTACTATGAAGTTCTTTGGGATATGTGAAAGTTAAATAAATGGAGTAATATGGCCCCCTATATGCCCATATCAACAAGGACAAGAGGAAATAGGTTTAAGTGATGGTAAAAAGTAAATAACAAAAAAGAAATTACAGTCATTTTATAATATGATTTGGGAAATTTTGCACGCACAAAAATGTGGTTATTAAGCAATAGAGCGAGCTGCCTTGATGTAGCTCTTCAGTGCAGGTAGTGAGGAGGCAACAGAGGTGGAGGTGGGTGTTAGTCCCAGTCTGAGAAGTAGCCTGCTCTATAATCAAATCACTGTTCAGCTATTTTGCAACCAGGTTTTTTTTTTTGGCTAAAAACAAACAAACAAGTAAAAATGTCAAGGGTGATCTTTCCTGAATTATAACTGAAGTCATTTTTTCTTCTTCTCTTACCTCTATTATGTATTTAAAGTATTTCACCTACATCTCTTGTAATAATCCAATTTGATACACAATATTGGATTTTAAGCTTTTGGGATCTTCTTTGTTCCTTTAGATATTTTTTTGCAAAGTAGAATTACTATATTTGGGCTACATATTTTCTTCTAGTCCCCTTACAATCGGATATCATAGAAAACATAGGTTTTCCTAGATAACTCTTATGCTTAATATTTTTTAGTTAATGATTAGCATTCAGCAAAGATTTGTTTCTGATACCTTGGGGACCACAGAGACCAACGAGATGCACACTTCCCTTTAGGAGTTAATTTAATGAGGGCAAACAACTTGCAGGCATAACCACAATTCGAAGTAGGATGAACAGGGGCTTTTTAAGTGCAGAGGGAGGAGTGGTTGGTTCCAACGCTGAAGACCAGGGAAGCTGCACCCAAAAAAAGTTTTTGAAAGACAGGATTGACACATGTAGAAAACATCAGAGTCCACAATGATAGAACAGTAGATATACACGTGTGCACCCATGTGTATACACTCAACATGGACATACTCAGTGTGTTGGGAAGCAAGGACTTAGGTGGAAGATGAGATTCAGTTGGAGGTCAAGTTGGAAAATTAGGTGAAAACTAGCTCACAGATATTCCTTCTCTCTCAGGTGATGCAAGCACAAAATAAATTCAAACAATACAATAAAATTCACAATGAAAACTACATTTTCTTTCTCTCCCTGTAGTCAGTCTCACAGTTCTTTTCTCAGAGACAAACACAGTTACACATTTCTGGCTTATCTTTCCAAAAATATTCTATATATTCAAATATCTATAAAGTGCATATATATGTTTCTTTTGTGTTATTTAGAAAATTGTTGCATTTTATATGCACTGTTCTGCACCTTGAGTTAATTTCTTCCATACTGATGCATGAAGGCATGCCTAGTTTTATTATTTTAATTTTTCCAGCTTTATTGAGGTAAGATTGGCAGATAAACGTTGCATATATTTAAGACGTATAATGTGACATTTTGATATATCTATATATTGGGAAATTATTTCCCCAATCAAACTAGTTGGCCTGTCCATCAGCTCCCATATTAACCTCTTTTGTATGTGTGTGAGGACATGTAAGATCTAGTGTCAGTAAACTTCAAGTATATAATACACCATTATTAACTATAGGCAAGTCTCATTGTATTTATTTATTTGTAATTTCAACTTTTAGATTTGGGGGTACATGTGCAGATTTGTTATCTGAGTATGTTTTGTGATGCTAAGGTTTGTGGTATGATTGATCCTGTCACCCAGGTAGTGAGCATAGTACCTGATAGTTTTTCAGCCATTGCCCTCCTCCTCTAGTTGTCTATTGTTCTCGTCTTTATGTCCATGAGTACCCAAGGTTTAGCTCCCACTTATAAGTGAGAACATGTGGTATTTGATTTTCTATTCCTGTGTTAATTTGGACAAACCTTATCTTAAGAGGTCTATGTGATATCCCATTTTGTGACTGTGCCATAGTGGATTCAAACATCTTCTACTGCTGGGCATTAAGGTTGTTTCTCATAACTTTTATTGTAAAGGATGTGGCAGTGAACAGTTTCATCAGATGTGACAAATTTATCCATGAATGGATTCCTAGAGGTGGAAATGCTGGTGTATCCTATTCCTAATGGTATAGGATAGTCTAGTAATGAATAGATTGAAGAAGGAATATTTGACATCCAAGGGATGAATTACTTTACTAGAAACTGTTACTCCTTTCAGAAAAGTATGGAAATCGTTTCTCTGAAAGTATATGTGAAGCTTTAGTCCCTACAACCTATTAAATGTGTGACACTGGGCAAGTCCCTTACACTCTTTAAGTTTCAATTGCCCCATCTATCCAGTGGGAGTAATAACTATACTTATTTCATAAAGGGTAGTGACTTCAATGCTACTCCCCTCAAAAAAAAAAAAAAAAAAAATCCACTTCCTAATCCCTGGCACCTGTGAATGCAGAGGTAACTAAGTTAAAGATCTTGAGATGAAGTGATCATCCTGGATTATCCAGGTGGACTCTAAATATGAAGACAAACATCCTTATAAGAAAAAGGCAGAAGATTTGAAACAGAAGACAGGAAGCCACATGTGCAGAGGAAAAGACCATATGAAGACAAGGGCAGATAGTTCAGTGATACAGTCACAAGTCGAGAAATCCCTGGAACCGCCAGGAGATAGAAGAGGCAAGGAAGGATCCTCTCCCAGAGGCTTCAAAAAGATCACAGCCCTGCTGGTGCCTTGATTTCTGACTTCTAGCCTTCAAAGCTAGCAAAGAATACATTTCTATTATTTTAAGTCATTTAGTTTGTGGTAATTTTTATGTCAGCCCTAGGGAACTAATACACAGGGTGATAATAAGAGATAATTTATGTAAAGTTTTAAAAGACTGTCTCCCTGGTTTATAATAAACCTTCGATAATTATTGGGTTTTATTATTTTTTCACTAATCTAAGTCTCTGGACTTGAGCAGTAGTAGTGAAGATGGAGGGAACTAGACAGATTCAAAAGTTATAAAGGACTTGGTAAGAGGCTAAGTATAGGAGGTGAGGGAAACAGAGGTGCAGAGATGGGCCCTGAGTTCCTGGCTGTGGAACTGGATGGATGCTGGTGTTGTTTACAGGAGTAGGGAATGTGAAAGGCTTGTGGGGAAATGGAGAGTTCAGTTTTGGATACATAGAATTGGAGGAGTTTTAAAGATATTCAAGGAGAGTTCAAGTAGACAGTTAAATATGAGGGTCTGGAGCTTAAAAGGAAGTCTAGAGTGGAAATATTATATGTGAAAGTTAATTTTATGCATCAGCTTGGCTGGGTCATGGGATGCCCAGATAGCTGGCTAAACATTTCTGGGTATGTCTCCAAGGGTGTTTCTAGAGAAGATTAGCATTTGAATTGGTGGGTTGAGCAAAGCAGATGGCCTTCCCCTATGTGGATGGGCATCATTTAATCCATTGTAGGCTTCAATAGAACAAAAAGGCAGAGGAAGGGCAAATTTACTTGACCAGACTGTTTGAGCAGAGACATTGATCTTCCACTGTCAGCACTGATGGTTCTCAGGTCTTCAGACCCCGTCTGAATCTACATCACTGGCTCACCAGATTGCAGGTCTTCAAACTACAGCACCAGCTCTCCTGGGTATGCAGTTTACAGACAGCAGATAGTGAGATTTCTCAGTCTCTATAATCATGGCAGCCAGTACCTTAAATAAGTAACAAATCTCTCTCTCTCTCTCTCTCTATATATATATATACACACACATATATATGTGTGTGTGTGTATGTCACTTCCTGAAGTGAAGATGCAAAAAAATTACCAAGCATTCAAGAAATTGATTTACTACAACAAACAGAATCCTTGCTTTTCAAGACAGTAGAAAATTATTATTTTTAAAAGTATGCAGTTTTATCAATAATCCCCACAACCTAGCTATATACTCAAAAAAAAAAAAGGCTGATGTAAACACAATTTACCTGGATCATAGATATTAGAGTAAGATGCTTTAACAATATAATTATATACCTCGTACATGACATACCTCATACCATTTGGCAAATATATAACTTGTTTATATTTAGTTTATAAAGGGGCTTCCCTTTATAAACACAGCGTAATATTATCATTTTGACATTCATGTATAATTTTTATACTAGTCCAACCTGTAAAGGCTTATAGTCATCTAGCATAGCTGCTACTACATACACAAAACAACTGATAATGGATAACAACCTTAAATGGTACACAAACATTCATACTCAATCACATGCACTGACATTCAGCTAAGTTTCTAACTGCAGATAATCAGCAAATTAATGAATTTTTATTTTGCTTATGTTCTGTTTAAGAGCTATTGATTAAAGCATAGGTGAGAGTAACTGACAGAGCTTAGTTTCCTGGTAGAAAATTCCATGCGTATTTTGAAATCCACACACTTTTCTTTACTAATCACTGGTAATGCTTTTCATCATTTTTTTTTGTTTTGCAAGAAAGTTAGTCTTTCTAATTCCTGCCTTTTTTTCTCTTTCAGGTCAATAAATCTTGACTCTTTCAGCAGTCTTATCTCTGCTTTGCACAACCCATTCCTCTGAAAAATTATAACTGTTATGTGCATAATAGAACCCAGTAAGGGTAATGCTGGTTTGAGAGAAAAAGGAGTGTCAAATGGGCTATGCCAGAATTCATAGTCTGGGAAAGGCAAGGCAAGCAAATACACTTGCATTAATCATTTTTTAAGTTTTCTTACACTGTATGTAAGAAATTCTTGAAAAGTATATGTAAGAAGAAAAAAATGTAAATAAAAAATAATAAACAAAAGGGGAAGGAAATGAGGACAAAGAAGCCAA